GCAGCTCCCCGTGAAGAAGAGTTCAAATATGTGTTTTAGTCATTAAGTTGCACTCAAAATTCTGAAAAGTTTGAGTTATCCAACAACTCACAGTGTATCAGGACTACAGTCTCAAAAAAGTCTGGTAAATTAAAAAAAAAAAAAAAGTTTTCTCAAGGACTTCAGTTGTGTAAAGATGAATTTGTTTTGGAAAAAAGACAAGAGGAACAGGAAAAACATTAAAAAAAAAAACCCAGTCAGGTTAAAGTTATGTAATGTCTCCAGTCCAGAAGAAGAAGTGCCGCTGCAAGTTTACTGTAAGACAGAAACTGTAAGACAGTATTTCAGTTTCCAGTAAAGCCTCAGTGTTTGGGGTAAACCGAGGGTCATGAATATGTGTAGTAGGAGACTGGTCCTAACGCCATGGCAACAAGACCCCAAGAGGAACAGCAGTGGCACAGAGCATGCGTCATTACGTGGTCTCGTCCTTCATTTGTGTCCAAGTCAAACAGAACCTGCTGCGCACTGTGGGAATCTTTTTAGACAATGACAGACAGAAACACTTGAGCCCAGGCAACGGAGGAGGTGCTGTGATCAGCCTGTGGGAGGCTCGACCTCAAGCATGTGTACATTCCACTGAGAAACGTGTTACATAACAGGCTGCGTTTCACTGACAGCCACTTCAAGTTACAAGTGAAAGACTCATTGGATAGTCTTCCCTGACAACATCTCACTTCTCAGAAAGCTTTGAACACAAGGCAAACAAGTCACGTGTACAAGCAGGCACAAAATACCAAATTAGTAGGTGTGATTACTTTGCATTTGACCACATAGACTGTAACTAGTAGCAGTACCTGCTTGCACACGTGTATAAGTTTTGGTTTAAGCTCTGAACTTATATTTTTGCGACTGTTTGGGCATAGGCACCACAGCAGGCTGCAATCTCATTCATAGTTCAGTAAAAAAAAAAGACATTTTAATAACATTTAACTTTGAAAATTCAAAACTTATCACATTTTTATGTACAGTTTTACATTTCTGTCAAGCTTTCAAATGCAAATGACCTTATAGTCTTTTAAGAAAAATGACCTTTTTTTTTTACATTATTAGTATTTAGCATATATCTTAGATCTTTTAGCGTATTGTTTAGCATTTGTTTAAAATATATAGATAATTATATATTGTTTCTTTTTATACTTTATATTTCTGCCACTTTTGGATGTAAGTGGGACCCTTTTCATTCCACCTTCATGTACCACATGTGATGTGAATGACAATAAAGAAACTTGAACTTGAATGACTGCAGCAGAAATAAATGCATCACCATCAGAATGAAACTGATTCGTTTTGTTTCAGTTTTAGGCTTGTTAATGGTTTGTTTCACATTACAAGTCCTTTTGCAGTTTTAATGATATGCATTTGGACAAAGCGTTTAAGTCAGGGGTGTCCAAACCTTTTCATATGTGGGCCAAAACTTTTAAGATGAAAGGAGACACGAGTCATTAAAAATGTGAATAAAAAAACATATATATAAATACATTTAAAAGAGCGTACATATTTTTAGTGATTTAAAAATTTAAACACAACACAACGCAAAAACATAAACAATATTTTTGGAGAAAGGACAAAACTGAGTACTTCTGGTGCGAAGGTATAATTGCTGTAATCCAAAACATTTAAAGCTTCATAAATCTTTTTATTTTTTTATTTAATGTATTTGAATTTATTGATTTATTGCCAAAGGACTGTATTAAACAATACAGCACTGCTCATTTTGAGATGTGTTTGTTTTGATCTCGTTTGCTGTTAAACCTAAAAATTATATGAAAAAAAAATTTGACCATTAAATTTGCAAAAGGTCTACATCTGCATCAATTTTTTCATTCAACATTTATTTATACGAGTTAGTCTCATTGAGCCTGGAGGACTCATTTACATAAAAGACATAATCTCTGAAGCCTATGGGCCAAAATTACACGATTCTTAAACTGAAAATGCGGGCCACACAAAATCACTCCAAGGGCCACAAATGGCCCCCGGGCCGCACTTTGGATGCCCCTGGTTTAAGTTTGAAATTTGATTGCAAAAAAAACAAAAACTAGTTCACCTTGAACTGCTGCAATCACTCACATGGATGAACTCAAAAATGGCCATCAAGCACGTAGTCAAGGACATTGCAGTCTAGGTTTTATTATTTCATTGTGCAATGTTTTGTCTGTGAATGATACTGCAGTGGCTTACTGATACCACCAGACTTCCCAAGAGGAGTTATTGGGTTTCACCTGCATGCACTATATTCCCTAATGGCCAAAATAAGCATAAGGGGGTAAAATTTCTCATGCTTTATGCATCAAAGATGCTTTGTTTCAGTATTCAGTTTTTATTGTTGACGTGTCCTTGGGACACTCTGTACTTTAAAATCTGTCCTCCTGTGCAAGTCTAACAGGACCACAGTGTTCTTTGTTAATATAAAACAACCTTGATTATGTCTAAGATTATCATGAAATGGTTTAAAAGTAAACTAACTATTAATAAAAACCTTGGTGTTCTGTTTGATCAGTTAATGTCTTTGGATGAACATTCAAAGCTTCTGGTAAAAAGTTGCTTTTATCATCTGAGAAATATTTCTAAATTGAGGGCAATGTGACTCAAATCTGACCTGAAGATGATTATCCATATTTTTATCTCTTGCTTAGATTATTGTAATTCCCTTTTTACTTAGTTTAACAAATTTGCTGTTGCTCATCTCCAGTTGGTCCAGAACGCTGCTGCGAGGCTTTTAACAGGATTATAGAAGGTCTCACGTTACACCAGTTATATATTCTCTTCATTGGCTGCCTATTGAATTTAGAATTCGTTTTAAAATTTTAGTTTTGACTTTTAGAGCTATAAATGGACAGGTTCCCCAATATATCAGTGAAATGTTGCTCCCTTATTCTCCAGCTTGCACCCTTCAGTCTTCAGCGCTGAACCTAAGAACTTAATCCCATTGAGCCTCGAGGACTCATTTACAAGAGAGACCTGATTTTAACAAAGAATGATGACAACAACAGACAACAACAACAACAATAGACAGTTATAAAAAGGCATACAGATTTTTATTTTTTACAAATAAGATGGCCAAAAAAAACAAAAAAAACAGCTAGATTCTAAGGCGAATGTAGAAAACTAAAAACAGGAACATGTCTGCATTGGTCCTTGCCAGGAGTCCAACAGATTCTTAAAGCCACTTAGAGAGGTCAAGGTCGAGAGCTTCAGATCTTTTTGCAAGATATTCCAGGAAACAGGAGCAGAGTAGGAGAAGGCCCTTTTGCCTAGTTCAGTCCTCAATGAGGGAACACTGCAGGTAAAGATGTCCTGAGAGTGCACGCCGTAGCTGTACTCACGCAGAGACATGTAGGAGGAGATGTATGAAGGCAGCAGACCAAGAAGTGACTTAAAGATGAAAATGTACCAGTGAGAGAGTCTGCGTGAAGTTAATGATGTCCAGTTAACCAGTGAATACAGGGTGCAGTGGTGGGTACGATAATCACAGCCAGTTATGAATCTTAGTGCACCATGATAGACAGCATCCAACATCTGCAGGGTTCTTGTAGGAACATTCATGTAAATAATGTCACCGTAATCAATGGAGGGAAGAAAGGTCACAGATACAAGGCGTTTCCAAGGATTCAAAGTTAGACAGGAGCGGTTTCTTTACTAGGTTTTCCACATGGAGCTTAAAAGAGAGATGCGAGTTGACCAAGATACCCAAATATTTATAGGAATCAACAAACTCAATGGGGACACCATTTGAGGATAAAATCAGAGGAAGAACTGCTGGGACCGACTTCCTGTTTGAAAAAAGCATCCCTTTGGTTTTATTGGCATTTAAGACAAATTTGAGGTGGAACAAATCTGTCTGGATGATGTTAAATGGGTTCTGAAAAATCAAGTAAGGGAAAGAAGAAAAAAAAATATACAGAATTTAAAAAAAAAAAGACTGAAAGATGAGCATAAAGTAATATAACATCAGCGAACATTAAATACATTTGATAATTACACCAATTGGATGGCTTTTAACAGGTTTCGTCACAATGTTATGAAGGAATATCTTAAAATAGTTGAAATTTCAAATATGTAATTTGTTTCCATGGCTGAGATGCTCCTTTTATAGTAAGTAAACTTTATTTATACAGCACCTTTTATAGATAAATCACAAAGTGGTTTACAGGAATACAAAATGCAGGCTTAAAATGAAACAAAAACAGTCAAAACAGCAGGAACAGCTGATAAAAACAGAAAGTAAAACATCTAATTAAAAGCTTGTCTGAATAAAAATGTCTTGAGCTGCGTTGTAAAGAAATCAACAGAGACAGTCACAGGAAGAAACAGAGGCAGGGCTTCCACAGCCTGGGGGCTACGGCCTGAAAGGATAGGTCACTTCGAATTTTAACCTGTATGGTATAAAGTTTATTCATTCTAAAAATACAAAACAGTTTCATTACTATATATAAAAATACAATTTAAAATGAGGCAGCAGAAAGAAGAAAAAATCTTATTATATCTGCCCCTTTTTTCAAACAATTAGTTCAATCATAATTTTCTAAATAAAGGTTGAATGAATGAATCTGTTGGTATTTAATGATTCTACAGGTTGAATTAAGCATGACATCTTGTTATGCAGACAATTCTGTTATACATATGAATGACATGCTAATCTTCTATTCCATCTCTACTTGCAACAATTAAAATTCTTCTTGGTATTCGCATGACTTATAGACTGTCAAGCAATGCTGTTTAAAGGTTTTTTTTTTTTTTTATATAAAAATGAATTATTTTGAGGGGGTGGGGGGGGGGGGGGGGGGCAACTAGCTGGGCAACTTTCCCATCATTAATCTCTTGAATGCTGTAGTTGAATAGGCTGTCTCCACATTCAAAAAGAAAATGTACATTACAATAACAAGATTACAAAAAAGGTAAAACCTGATCTATTTAAAGAAACGGACAAGTTTGTGAAAAAAAAAAGAAGAAGTTTATTGTCAAAGCTTTTGTGATTGAAAACAGAACATTTCTCATATGCAAATTAATTTCTCTAACAGAAATCACCAAACGTGGGCAAGTGCTGATGTGGTCTACGCAGTCACATTTCCCCGTCGTGTCAAAATGGTATGAAAGCTGGTGAAAAATATTAAATAACAGAAGTGAAAAGAAACACTGAGAAACAAGTTAAATGCTTTTGGGCAACTAAGCTTCTTTACATTTAACAGGGAAAGAATAAATAATCAGTTGAATAAACCCAGAAACAGTTTAAAGGAGTTCTTGAGCTGAACTGCATCAGACAATCATCTCTAGATATTTAGGCTCATTAGCTTTTTTCCCCCCAGAAAAGAGCATCAAAATATGTACCTCTTTCTTGATTTTAGCCCCAAGAGCTTCAAGTCAATCCCTTAGATTCTGACAATCCTTAAAAAACTAGCCCTTATGCATTAGGAAAATCTGCATAGAAATGCACCAACTAAATTCCCGTTTACTTGATATACAAAAAGTTATGCTGTGAAATTATGTGCATTTCCCCAAAAACGTGAGTCATTTTACTCATCCTGAGATGTTTGCATAAAGGCCATGTTGGTAACCCTGATACAGGCAACACCCTTCCACTGAGAGACTGCTTTTTCTGCAAATATCTCAAAGAAAAAAAGCGACCACAGTGGGTGTAAATACAAGACCAAGGAGGATTGTCTAGCCTGCACCGACCTTTACATTCTGGAGACATGGTGGCTGTATCACAGGCAAGCAGGGCCTTTTCCCATTTTTGCTCAGAGAATTGAGAAAACTACTATGTACAAGCTCTGTTTCTCTATTCTCTTTGGTCAATCTTTACATTATGTACAAAGAACAACATCTATAACATTGCAGCATCTCAGTTAGCGCTGGCCATGCGCGTGTCCACGCCAAAGTAGTTAAGCATCGTCTGGACCAGCTCTGGGAGATCATAATCGTGTTTCCAGGCCCAGTCCTTCCGTGCGTTGGAGTCGTCGAAGTTCATTGGCCAGCTGTCAGCTGAAATGATGAAGACAAAACAGAATTTTATAAAGATACGTCGCTGCGTTGGTTTTACAAATGGAAAGGAGAAGCTCACCAATTGCCTGTCGAACTGGGTCCACGTCGTACGTGACCTCCAGCTCTGGCATCTGCTTCTGCAGCTCCTGGACCAGTTCCTCGGGCGTAAAACTCATGGCATTGATGTTGTACGTCCTCATGCTCAGCGTGTCAGCTGGTGCCTCCATCACCTCCAGCGTGGCACGCAGACAGTCGTCTATGTACATCATGGGGAGCCGCGTGTCTGGTCTCAAGTTGCACTCAAACTTTCCCGTCTTGATTGCATCGTGAAAAACTTGGACGGCGTAGTCTGGTTGGAGACAAAATGACATTCCCATTACAGCACGTCTGACATTAACCCCCAAAACAGATTTTACAATACAAACAAAATACTTCATATTTTAATTGTTCTTTGATCTGTTAAAATTAGAGTGAGGCGGAAGGTTAGATATGAACAAATATGATCACAGGTCAGAAGATCTGATATTCCAGATGACAAACCAAAATATTGCAACAACGAACGACAACTCTGTGACACATCATGCGGATTACAAAACTGCAACCTGATAGGAAACCTACAGGAATAGACCATTAAAAATAAAACCCATCAAAGCAGTTGACGTCATGAATCGTCTCACATTCCACTACCCGGCAAAGTTTTTATTGACATACTCGTCTAAATACTTTTCCAAATGTCACTTTACAGAGTTGTGCTTGAATGCTTGTGAAGTTTTTAGAATTTTATATATTTCTGCAAAAATACGCTCTAACACATCAGTCCTAAACGTATAAAAGAGAACCCAGTTAAACAAACGAGACAAAATAATACTTGGTCATTTATTCATTGAGGAAAATGATCCAATATTACATATTTGTGAGTGGTAAAAGTATGAAGGTGAAATTAAAGTCGGGTGTTTTCAATCAATGGGATGATGATCAGGTGTGAGGGAACCCGTTTGATTTAAAGAACAGGATCTATCAAAGTCTGCTCTTCACAACATGTGTGTGCAAATGTATCATGTCAGAAACAGGAGATTCTGAGGAGGTCAGGAAAAGAGTTGTTGATGCTCATCAAACTGGAAAATGTTACAAAACCATCTGTAAAGAGTTTGAACTGCACCAATCCACAGTCAGACAGATTGTGTACAAATGGAGGAAATTCATGTCCATTGTTACCCTCCCCAGGAGTGGTCGACCAGCAAAGATCACTCCAAGAGCAAGAAGTGTAATAGTCTGTGAGGTCACAAAGGAGCCCAGGGTAACTTCTAACAACCGAAGGTCTCTCTCACATTGATGTTCATGAGTCCACCATGAGGAGAACTCTGAACAACAATGGGTCATGGCAGGGTTAAAGGAGAAACCGCTGCTCTCCAAAAAGAACATTGCTGCTCATCTGCAGTTTGATAAAGATCACGTGGACAAGCCAGAAGACTGTTGGAAGAATGTTTTGTGGACGGATGAGACCAAACTAGAACTTGTTGGTTTAAATGAAAAGTGTTCTGTTTGCAGAAAGGACAACTCTGCATTCCTGCAAAAGAACCTTATCCCATCTATGAAACATGGTGGTGGTAGTGTCATGGTTTGAGCCTGTTCTGCTGCATCTGGGCCAGGACAGCTTACCATCATTGATGGAACAATGAATTCTGAATTATATCAGAGAAGTATAGAGGAAAATGTCAGGACATCTGTCCATGAACTGAATCTGAAGAGAAGGTGGGTCATGCTGCAAGACGATGATCCAAAACACACGTGGTTCTACCAAAGAATGGTTCAAGAAGAAGTTCATGTTTTGGAATGAACAAGTCAAATCCTAATCCAATCAACATGTTGTGGAAGGACCTGAAGTGTGAAAATCTGAGGATGTTTTACGTCATATTTATGCAGAAATATAGGAAAGTATAAAGGGTTCACAAACTTTTGTAGTGAACTAAGCCTCAGGTCAAAACCTGACCCTGAGGACCTTCATGGGACAGGAACTGTTATTTCATTGATTTGAATCCAGAAATACAAAATAAGCTCATCCAGAGACTTTCTAATTGTATCCTGCACTAATCAATTGAAAGAACACTCTTTTATATTGTCGTTACTATTTTCACAAATGTCTTGATAATCAAAAGTGTGTTTAGTTCAAACCAGTTTAAATGTTGAAGTGAACTACTCATTTTAAATCAACTGTGAAACAGTATTAATGATTTTTAGTCCTCATTCAAAGTAGAAATCAAGTTAGATGTCTGTTACAAAGTAATTATGCATTTTTTGATCTTCTGTCTGAAATAAGAAGGAGTGATGTCGGTCAAAAGTCGGAGACAGTCGCAAACAAGTTTATTGGAACGAACTGTCGTGTTTTTAAAACCTATCAGACAGAAATAAGAAACTGGTGGCACCTGTTTCCTCCCACTTCGCCAAAACATTTCTCTGTCTGCTCCAAAACATTTCTCTGTCTGTCCCTAAAACATCTCACTGTTTTTCTGACTTGTAGTAACCTCTTACGTCACTAAAACCACACCCCTGTTGGTTCTTTCAACCAATCAGGACTTCTCAAATGAACCAGAAACAGAACTCTTTAAATGTCGACACTTCCTAGTTCCAGTCAGTTCTGAGAGCAGAACCGAACAGAAAAGTTCTGAGACATGAACTGGAGTTCTGAGAGCAGAACCGAACAGAAAAGTTCTGAGACATGAACCGGAGTTCTGAGAGCAGAACCGAACAGAAAAGTTCTGAGACATGAACCGGAGTTCTGAGAGCAGAAGTGATCCGAAGTGCTGGGAGCACAGGAGAACAGAAGTTCCGAACAGCAGAACAAAAGTTCTGAAGTGCTGGAGTTAGTTGGGAGTTCTTCCGAGTCTAGTTGGGATTATGGAATCTTCCACATCTGAGTGGAACCTCTGATGGACTCACAGCTCATGTGAGTCCACCCGTGAGGTGAGCGTGTTGTTGAACGGAGTACTGTCACTACTTTGGACGATTCTCAGCCATCCTAAGGAGACGCTGAAAGGTAGATTTGAAATGGAACTCCGTACCGGAGCTGGCCTATCTTCTGCAAAGGTAAACGAGTCGCTTCACTACCGAGTGCACCGAGGTTGAGCTGGGTTCGGATGGAGGGTGTCGTTCTTCGTCAACACATTTTCCCTCACACATCTTTCCTCTCCATTTAAACTCCTTCATTTCCCATCTTTAAAACTCTCCTATCTTGCCAGTAATTAATCCAGATATTTTCAGAAATGTCTGTTGTATTTTAGTTGCAAGTGAGAAATCATGGCCATATGATTTCTCATTGTAAAGCTCATTAATTAAGCTGTGTTATTGCCTTCAATCAGAATAATCAAGTGTACAATGTTTGATGTTAAACTTTGATTCTTTTAATAAATGGCCACATTCATTTTGATGGGTCAAAGAAAATTAACTTCTCATGTCACTGGTTTTTAGACCATCTCCCACACAGTATCTGTCACATATCTGTCAAGTAGCTCGAAAAAGAGAGAACCCGTGATTAAATATTGATTGTAGTGAAGCTAACTGAAGCTAACCGACCCTACATCACTACACTTTCAAGCACCACCTCTGTTGTATTTTACTGTACTCATTCCCTTTGAACTTTCCTTAATTTAAATTTACATTTCGGCACTGATAAATCAAAACTGAACAGAGACTAGAAAACGTTAGTTATGGTTTAAAACTTGATTATTAGATAAATAGATTAGATGGATTCATTAAACTGACAACATTATATTTTGAGCACAGTGTTGTGAATATTGTCAGGCATTCATTGATGGGACTTTTTTGTAATGAGACCATTTAGTTTGTTGCTTTTTTAAGGTTGACCCCAATAATTACAGTAAGGACTGAGGGGTAGGAGACAGTAAGAGTGCAATTAATGATAAATAAAGCTGTTTAGTTGACTTCGGCCTTAGCATTGCAACGGATTGTTGTTACATTTATTTCACTATATTAAAAACACATTTTTACATGCTACATTTTGGTCCAAAACAACTCAAAGTTTCAGATAACTTCATAATACTTATTATTTCATTTTTTACCATAAATAATGTGTATTTTATCACATTTAAAGGACATTTTGTGCTATATACTCACATGTATGCATTTCATTTAACTAATAACTGAGCATTTTGGTCCCATGCGTGAATCACTCCTGCTATTTTTTTTTTTATTATGGAAATTTTGGTCAAAAGGTTATGGTTATGGTTGCTTTTAACCACTATGGCTGAGAATGTTATCCCTGCCCATGAACCATATGTTTGGGTTAGCAGAGAGCGCTGGATGAGGGGCTGGGCGAGGCTGCAGGCGTGCAGCGGTCACTTCAAGAACGCCTCGAGTCTGTGAGCTCGGCTGAACTGATAAGATTATAAAAACAAGCTGCTACACACAGATTCTCATGACTGGGCTTCGTGTGTGTACTTTCTGTATATCTGTGTAACCCGTCCTGAAAATCTGACCTTGCAAGCAAATACCAGGTAAAAATCTTCTGCTGTTAAGTGTAGCTTCTTTCGAGTAAGTGAGATAAACAGAGAATATTTTTCTCCAACATTCTTCATAACAATGTGATGGAAATTTGATGAATTGGGATCTAATAATGGATTGCTTTTATCACGGGACAGATCAGCGGGCATTATAATAGAACAGCTGGGGGCAAAGTGGGGTTCAGTATGATGCCCATCCAGTGATTATTTGCCTATTTGGTCCCCAACGTCTATTAAACACGGCAAACTTCAGTAAAAAAAAAAAAGAAAAGAAAAAACAATATTAATGGCCTTCCATAAATTATCTTTTGAATCTTCTTCAGCTTTATTTATTACCTGTTGTGCCACCTCCTGGCATAGAATCAGCTGAGATGATTCCTGGGTAGCGAAGACAGCGAAAGTCCAACCCATAACGGTGGTGGTAATACTAGAAAGGTAGAAATAAATCTGTTAAATAAGATTATAAAAAAGGTTTGCGGCTAGGTAATATGTAATAAAGCCAGTTAGGAAACCATTTGAGTTATTTAAAAGTGAACGTTGAATCTGAGCTCTCACCTCTCCCATCAGCTCAGCGTGAACTTTAGAAACCCCGTAGATGGTGCGAGGTCTCTGTACGCACAAGTCCGGGGTGGGGTTGCGGGGGGAAGAGGGACCAAAGGCACCAATGGTGCTGGGAACAAAGAGCCGCAGGCCGTGCTCTGCAGCAATGTCGAGGATGTTGTGAAGCCCTGGAAAACAGTGCAAAAATATCCCTCAATGAGTGCACAAGAAAAATCAAGAGTTTACGGAACTTTTTTATTTGGCAACGACATTCATATTCTCTCTACGGACATATCTACCAAAAATCTTCTTTTACTACTATATAGTACATATTGGAGTTTATTTGGGTGTAGGGATGCACAATATTGGATTTTTGGCCAATATGTTAAAAATTATTTGTCTGATAACCGATACCAATATTGATATTTTTTCCCCCTAGACCTACTTACAGAGAATACATAGCTTTGTCTGCTGTGGAATTAAAATACTAGATTATTCTGCATGCTCTTTGTCAGTTTGACCTGTTACCAAATGCAGAAAAAAGGGAGCTGAAAATGAGGCAACACTTCAACTTGGATTATGTTTAATGTCAAATTTATTCATGACCTTTACTCTCTCTAACACAATGACACTGGAACAGTGCAAATTTGTACATTTTCACAAATCTAACCTGCTCACAAGCAACAAGCGCACAAGTAGGAGTGCATTAATAGATATACCTGACAGCTTCTTAAATTAAAAATTAACTTAAAACAGAAGCTTTCGTATCGATGAGTTATTTTAATGGAATGGCCGATGTCTGATATTTAACTTTATCGCTAATATCGGCTGATACCGATACCATGCCGATAATATTGTGCATCCCTTTGAGAGACATTTGTGTGATTTAAGGAGTTCTCTCACCAGTGATGTTAACAGAGCGTGCCAAGGCCACGTTAGCCTCTCCGACAGCACTCAGGAGGGCGCTGTAGTGAACCAGCCACGTGATGCGATTGTTCACCACAATTTCTCGCAGGTTCTTGTAATCCAGGATGTCCGAGTAAATGAAGGGGCCTAAAAGTGACAGAACAATGAATACGAGCGTTCACAAAAACATGCACGTCAATTGGTAACTCTAAATTGTCCCTGTAGGTGTGAAAGTGAATGGTCGTCTGTCTTGTTTGTCTCCGCGTGTCCCTGCGATGGACTTGCGACCTGTCCAGGGTGTCCCCCACCTCTCACACAGTGAGACCAACTGCCCCGTGACCCAGAAAGGAACAAGCGAGTAAAGAAACTGAATGGATGGACTCAATAGGAATTGTCATGGCAATGCCACGTGTTGAGAATAAAGAGGATTTACATGAAACAAAGTTTGATAATTGACCTGGTTAATCTTAAAGAGACTGTTGCAGCACATTGAATTCCCCTGTTGTGAAACAGCAAACATTTCAAAAGCATTTGTCACAGATCATCTAACAAGAGGAAGTTTATGTTCAACCATACGATGATGAAATAAATAAATAAATCTTCTGAGCCGTCTGATTTTACTCTGAATTGTTTGAGTTTACGTACCGCTGTGGAAAACATTGCTGGGCGGTTTCCTGATGTCAGACAGAATGACATTGTTCTTTCCAAACCTCTTCCTGTAAGGAAGTTTATGTAATAAGTTAAAAAGGCATTGTCATACTGAACATCTAAAACCAGTTGTTAAAATTGCATATTTTTTTCTTACCTCAACAGCTTGGCCAGACCAACTCCAAGTTGCCCCAGGCCACCTGAGGGGGGAAAAAAAGACAAGGTGAATGAAATGAAACTAATATTCGTCAAGGTTGGTTTCTACGGAGACTGGGGTTACTACGGCTGTAAGAACACAGCCACAACACTCGACTTCCACTCTTTGTATTCACCTGGAAGGCCTTGTCGTTGCCACTGCCAAACCTCTTACAAAAATCCTGCTGTTCTTCAAGTCCCTCCAGAGCACATTTTGTACGAGCTCACAATTTAGCTTTACAAACCCCAACTTAGCTACGGTGTAATAAACGAATACCCCCCCCCCCCCCCCCCACGTCTGATCTATTATGTCTGAGAGCTAGTTGCACAACCAGTTGTTGCATACCTGTGATGAGCACCTTGGGGTGGTCTGTTTCTGAGAAGGAAACAGAGTGGAAGCTTGCATCAGAAGTGACCTGCCGAGGGGAGAAGCTGATGTTTCGTACAGCCACGGTCAGGGGTTGGCAGCCGCACCCCGGGGTGCTGAGCAGAGCCTGCTTTGCCACCTTGCTGAGGGTTCTGATGACAGGCATGCTGGTACCTACAATGGGGTGGGGGGGGGGGGGGGGGTGGGGTGGGGGATGTGGATTTAGGTGCCACAATGCAATTTCAAACACCATGAACAATTTTGGACACACTCAGTTTCATGATGGAAATCAATTAGAAAATTTGCACAAAAAAAAAAATAATAATTTGAAGTTTGGGGCTCTTTATAATAAACCAAGTACAACGCACATATAAGACAAGTCAAAGCAGGGCGAAAAAGTGTTTTTGTATAAATAAAATCTTGCACATTCATCTGCACTTTGATCTGGGAGAAAATCTACAACAGTAAAAAGGCAGAAAGTCTCAAAAGCTCAGACTGAGAGCAAAATCATTCATTCTGTGGGAACCAAAAGGACGCTTTATAACATTAACAGAATAAAAATCACACCTTTCCAAGTGAATCCCAGTCACTCAAACTATTTCAGCGCATTTGGGGTTTTGTCTCTGAATCGGCTCATATTTTGCGCCAACTGTCCCCGGCAGCCCAGAAGTTTGCTTACGTGGGTTGAGGGGTTTCCAAGAGAAAGAAAAACGTGACCTGGGAGTATTTATACAGCCCTGCCTTCACCGAGATCCAATCAGAAGGAGAGGCGGCAGAAGAAAACCCGTGCCAAGAGCGGGTCGTCCTCGAGAGACCGGATTATGGAATATTCTTGGAACGCATCACTTGAAGTGCGCTTTTTTTTTTTTTTTTTCCTTCAGGCACAAAAGCGCGAATCTTATTTTGTATGTGAAGGGAAAAGAAAGTGCAACAGCAGTAACTTGTGGTGTCACCTTCACCGCGCCGTTTTGTGCGGGTCATTGTTGTGTCCACGTCGTTTTACGCAGACATCTTGTGCAACATGCGGTGTCTGTGCGTCACCGTGCCATTTTTAAAGACGTAGCCTAAAGGCACATTAAAGCAAGCCCCCTGGTTGGGAAGATGTGCATTTAAATAAATAAATAATCTGGAGAAAAGTGGCGACAAATTACAGGAAAGCCAACAAAACTTTGAATGAAAAACGAGCTTTTAATGATAAAAATCACGTTTTCACTAGAGACGCGGAGCAGCCTGGTGAAACTAGGCATGCGGCGATTATTACACCGGAAGAGGCCATTTAAAGCATTTAAAACGACTCCTAAAATAAACTAAGCACCGACTGTAGGCACATTTCAGTGAGCACGGAAACACGTTATCAGGGTTACATGACTCACCGGTGGACACAAGGAGTTAAAGGGAAGAAAGAAAAGCGGTCTGGTCGGAGCGGTTTTAGAAGAGCGACAGAGAGATGCTGCTTCCTGGAGGCGCTCGGCTTCAACGTTATCTGCGTGAAGTGTTGCATCAGCTGCCAGAGCTTATATACGACCCCCGGAAAGAGAGGGGGGCGGGGGGAGCCGGCTCCGTTCCTGATTGGTGGAGCCTCGGAGGTGCGGTCCTCCCTCACTACCGCCACATCTGCGCCTAACAACAGCCAATCTAAAATACAAAAAGTAATAATTATATGTGAGCTGTGCTGGCAAAATGAGACACGACTCAATGTGGAGTTATTAATATTTTTAAATTCTCCATCTCAACGCGTCAAAATGACTGCTTGTTGAAATCTGACTGGCACTTTAATTGCGTCTGAGCCGAATTTTATTTATTTTTCTCATATATGTGTTGTCGGGAGTTTCAGCCCTACGTTTAAAACGGGAATCTACAAGTTTCACAATGACGGCAAACATAAGAAAGGAACAACGAGTGAAAAAAGTTTCATCCCTCATCCGGAGGACTTAATATACGAAAGGATTTCCCGGCATGAAAGCAGTCGGCAGAAAAATATAGTAAAAAAAATAAATAAATAAAGTGTTCTTATTTTATTTTTTAAGTTAGAGGAATCATTTATTCATCAGCGCATTCGATTTTGTCTTTATGGACTTACATTATTCTTACGCAAGTCTCCATCACAATTTCAATTCAGTTTATTTACACAGCACCAAGTCACAACAGAAGTCATCTCAGGGCTCTGAACAGAAACATTTGTACACATAAAAAGCAAGTTAACAAAATTTATCTGAGACGCAGACTGCTTTGAGTTTAACTTCATCGCAGAACTCTCATCTTGAGCAAACATGAAGGTGACAGTGGAAAGGAAAAACTCCATCATGAGGAAGAAACCTTTAGCAGACTCAGGACAAGTGGCCACCTGCTTCAACCTGCTGGGTTTGAGAAGAACAGGAAGGAGGAACAGATACACAATGCCAGGTCGACAATAACATGTTGAGACAGAAATATCAAATGAAAACTATTCAATTTTAACAATTCATTTAAGGAAATGAGGTCAACTTGTTGTCTAGTAGTCTAATGGCAGCATAACAAGCCAATCTTAACTATAGGATTCATCAAAAAGGAAAGCTGTAAGCCCAGTCTTAAAACTGGACAATGTGTCAGCCTCACGGACAGAAACTGGAAGTTGGTTCCACAAGAGAGGAGCCTGATAACTAAAGATCTTCCTCCCATTTTTCTTCTGGAAACTCTAGGAATCGCAAGCAAGCCTGCAGTCTGAGAGCAAAGTGCTCTGTTAGGAAAATATGGAACAATAAGATCTCGAATATAAGATGGAGCTAGGTTCTTGAGAACTTTGTAGTTTATAAGTAAGATTTTGAATTCAAGGAGCCTAGCCGTGACGAATGCATGAACCAGTTTGTCTGTATTAAGGCAAAAATCCATATTTTGACCTATTTTGCACTGCAGCATATGCTCAGTCTGTCTCATTTTGCCAGCATGAGTCACATAGTATATATATTATACACAAATCACAGTTTAATATTTCATCGTTTATTCATGTGGCAGAGATCTCCCTCAGGTCTTTAATTTCAAATAAAGTCCTGTAAGTGCAAGTATAAAAAGCTACTTCTTCTATTAAAAGCTCTTGTTTTTATTTTTTTCTTTACTTGAGTGAACTTTTATAACCTAAAAACACCACACCTCATTCCTGGGAAGCATGACTGGAAGATGACCCGTGATAACCACGAGATGACAGCTAACGTGTCCACACTGAAACTGATACAAAATGTGATATTTTCACAGGCTCAAAAAAGGTACTGGTAGTTTTTTTTTTTTTTTTCAGGCAGAGTTATTGTGTTAGGGTTGGGCTTCCAGCCGTAAATCAGCAGAGCTACACGTCTTCAACATGGGACGAGACTGAAGGCAGAACTGTAAACAGTGGCTCTACGAAGCAGCTGATCTCTATTTATTCTTCAGGCACCTCGTCAAGATGATTGCTTAGTCACAGCAGTAGTAATACCTCTGGTGGGGTTCCTGGGGTGCTGTTTACTAACTGCTAAACAAGCTGCAAAAGGACGGGAAGTGGAGAACTAAAATTACACACCCGCTGCAGTTCAGTCCATCGTGTAAAATCTAGAAAAATCAGCACAAACAAAGCATCTTAATGCAAAAAGGTTTTAATTGTTTTAATATTATGCAGAGAACAAAATGCGAGCTGCCGTCTGCTTTGCTCAGATTCCTAGATAATGCAGGCTTGAAGCTGTGAGGAGGAGGATGATACAAAAATGAGTGGAATTTGAGACTGTGGAAATTTGAAGCCACAGACTAAAAGGGCTGCACACTGCGTTTGCAAAGCATCGGCATTTATAATGCAAATACCTCATCCCTTCCTGTGCGGTTAAGAGTGCATCACTTTGCACAAGTGCTGCACAGACAGCTGCATGGGTGAAAACCCATTAAAAAAATGTTAAAAGAAAAGTCATTGTATTACTAGCAGTTTTTATTTTATTTATTTTTTTTAAAGAGAATACTGATGGTTAATTTTCCACCTTTTTAAAACTGTTCCCGCACAGATCGACAGTGATAGGGTGCACCTTTAAATATAAAGTGCTCATTTAGTGCAAATTTTAAAACAGAAAGTTCTTCCTTTGACGCATTTACAGTCACTGACATGTAAACAAACTGCTGGGAAAGTCCGATATCATGCTGAAACAGAAACAAAAACTTGATTCATCTTTTCAATCACAACTTTTATTAGTTTAGAACTTTTCAAAACAATTGTTTCTTTCGAACAGTGATATAGTTTCACAAGCATCAGTGATAAAAGTGCACGCTTGGGTGGTTTACAGTAAGGCATTGCACGGAGTCGATAAGCACAAAAACATTATTAATATACAGCAGGAAACTTTTAGAGTTTTACATTTTATTTTACAAAAAAAATCATCTATTTAGACATGTAAATGCAAGCAGATATAGTTTTTAATTACAGAATACAGCAGTGATTTGTTTGGACTTCTACCTTCAACAAGAAAACTGATTTTTTTTGGCCAAAGCTACAGAAGAAAACAGAGCAGACCTTGAATGCACATGTAAACAATTCACTTTCAAATGTAGTTTAATGTAGATTAGTGTGAATACAACTCGACTTCAGATTAGCTCTCAGGCAAATGCTATATTTGATACGACATTTAAACAAGCATATATGAAGTATCTTTTACTGACACAAAAACATGACCAAAGATGAACATATTAATGCTAACCAAGCCTTGTTTTATTTAATATGAAAAATGCAGCATAAATCCTTATTAATAATATAATAGTGAGCACAAAAATCCTTTAAATTCTCTATGCAAAAAGAACTTATCCGCCATAACATTATGACAGGTAAGGATATGCCGCTCACTTTGTTAAAATGTTTAATGTTTTGATGAAGAAGCATATCGTGGCAATAATGTAAACATCACTTTGGCCCATAAAGCGTGTCCTCAACAGGACATAAGCAGGTTGTGCAACAGCTGCTTACGAAAGGCTCCAATGTCCTAACAAGAGAATGAGATAGTCACCTGACCTCCAAACACCGCAGGTATTGTTTACTGACTAAAACAAGCAGGAGACAGAATATTAGGCAGGTGGTCATAATGATATGGCTGACTGGTTTATTTAGCTGGTTCAAACATTTTTTCAAACACTGACAATGTTTGTCTCCATGCCTTAGCTGACTATTGACTGGCTACAGTTTGGTGCAAAAGTCTTCAGCCACCCCTTGTTCCTTTAATAAAGAAATAAATGAGAAAGACCTTCAGAAACCTGCAGAACATTTAATTAAGAGCATTTATAGAAAAAGTATAAAATAAAAAGTTAAACTGCTTTGAAGCCAACATTTAAAGAAACAAGCAGGTGCTCATGACTTTTGCACCAGACTGTATGAAAAGTCCTGCGTTAGTTTGGAAACAACTACGAAGGATGCAAAGATGTGACATTATTAAAGGTTTCTGTGACAGACTGTGCCATCAGTGGTTGTTTCAAATCTTAACTGGTGTGCTCTAATATGGCAACCGCTAGTGAAAAAATATATTAACAAGTAAGAGTGTGTCTGGGATTCATTATAATTTCATTCAAAATGTGCATACCCAAAACCAAAACAAAAATACATGTGACAAAAAGAGCAGCAGCACTTAATGTTCAATAACGTACCGTGTTCACAAAAGCACTTGAACGCAACGACTTCCCTAGAATTTTACTAACAAAAATTAAAATTGGTCCCTAAAGCAAAACTTAATATGTAAAACACACCCCCACGTGATCCACCTCTGTCAAGTGTTACAGATAAGAGGTTCCTTGTGCCGTCACCATGACAACAAGACCCTAAGTAGGCTCATTATACTTTCCCTGCATCCCACTCGCCGACATATTTTAAGAGTTTCCAGGCATATTGAGGTTGGAATTTTAAATGCATCACTTTTTTTTTGGGGGGGGGGATCTAATTCCTGTCATGTCTGATCGCGTTACTAAATCAAGTAAATTAACAAGAGTCATAAAATTTTAGGTCAGAAATATATTATGCAAAACGTCCATCTTGAATGATGCTAAAGGTGTTGATCCAGCCTACACATCTCAACATGCTGAAGAGTCACATGATGTCTTATAGCACCCCGTGTGTTGCCATGGTTACTCCACTTTGCATCAGTGCAGTATACATTAGAACGTAAACCCTGCATTATTACCATGCAAACTCTTTTGTAAGTCCAAGTCTGCAGGCAGATATGTAGCAATAAGGAAACAAATGGACTGAATTTGTGAATTAGAAGTCGACTGTTTAATGGTTTGATTAGTTTTAAATTAAACAATGAGCCTAACATCAAATGAATGTGGAGTGAAATGTTTTCTTTTCATTCATGTTTAGTTTGTGACGAGACAACTTGGAAAATCAGCGCTTTAAGAGTGTTGAGACCTAATGGTGTAAATTGTAAAAATAAAAAAAATAAAAAGTAAAAATCAAATGTTATGTACTGAAATGTATGAGAACAACTTATCTGTTTTTTATGTAAATATTTTCATCTTCTTTAAACCCCTTTGTTACCTTTCGGCGGGCGTCTTTATTCCCGTTTATGATGTTTGCAACAGAGGATCTTCAGTTTCCAGCTGGGCCAGCTGTCTGCGCACGCTGTTTACTTTGGTCTGAAGCTCCTTGTTGTATTCAATAATGTGCACCATTTCATCATAAGCCTCATCCAAACACTTGGAGGAACGGTTCCAGCGAAGGAACACTCCTGTAGCAGAACAAACAAATAAATTGTAGAAAACACAATGACAATATGGGTTATCAAATTTGTCTAGTCAAAAACAATGTTTAATACATAAATATAACAACAAAAAAGGAACTTTGTGTTTGGCTGAATATTTCTATACTTATTGGTCATAAACTGTTGAAAAGCCCGTAGAGTCAACTTAAAACAGTGATTAGAATTGAGGTTCCTTAATCTTCTGTCATCTAAAATACAGTCAAAATGAGCAAAAGCTTCATTCCTCACATAAAAATAAAATACCTGCAACACTCTTAAACAGATAAAAACAAGTACAGAGGTTAGATTATATATATATAT